AGGCCTGATGAGTTTCTTTTTATAAGCCTTCGCTGCTCATTAAAATGTCTTAGTTATTTTAGTAGAAGTGAAGCGTAATTTTCTGATCAGCTTGATTATCTTGCATACGTCATTTTAATTATATATGTAGTTTTGGGGCTTGCGTATGTTAATAAGTATGATTTAATTTTTATTTCCCTATGCTTCTGGCATAAGTTCATGAGTTACCAGTATGAAATCAGGGTGAAAATTTTTCACATTATGTTTGGTTTAGTATTTAGTTGTACATAGAATTTACGGAACAAAGTCTTTCACTGGTAGTTGGATGGCATTGAAGCTTTTTATTTATTTCGTCTTATACCCATGATTTCGTAGCCATGATTTTCTGTCCCTAAAAAAGGCAGAAAATAGTTCTATTTAGATGTATGCTTTTCTGCGAAGTAGTGGCAAGAATGAAAGCATCATAGATCTTAACGATCCTGTTATATAACTTGAAGAAATTAGTCACTGTGGATGTTGACCTGAATCTCATAAAAATCACTCGGATATGCCATTATTCTTCTAGGACTACCTTTAAAAGATCAAGAGCAGTTTTTTTAGCTTGAGTTTGGACTATAAGATGAAAATCGCTGTTATTATTGTCATCATTTAGCCTTATTCCAAAAGATGGTTTGGAGTTGCAAACATTTTCTTCCCTTAAATTCCGTTTGAAGCTGCAGAGAGCATCATAGGAACTTAACGAACGTGTTTCTATAACTTGAAGAAATCAGTCACTGTGCTTGTTGACCTGAATCTCATAAAATCACTTGGATATACCGTTATTATTCTGAGACTACTTTGAGAAGCCAGATTAAATGCAGTTTATTTCACTTGATATTGGACTATAAGATGAAGGTCCCTGTCATTATTGTCATCATTTAGCCTTATCCCAAAAAGTTGGGTTGGAGTTGCAAACATTTTCTTCATTTAAATCCCGTTTGAGTGTTAAAATTTATCCCATTTAGCCTTATACTAGATGTATGTTTGTCTGCAAAATAGTAGCAAAACTGAGAGCATCATGGGATCTTAACGAACCTGTTTTATAATGTGAAGAAATCAGTCACTGTGGATGTTGACGTGAATCTCATAAAAATCACTCGGATATGCCACTACTAGTCTGAGACTACCTTGGGAAGCCAGATCAAATTCAATTTATTTAACTTGATATTGGACTATAAGATGAAGGTTCCTGTTATTATTGCCATCATTTAACCTTATCACAAAAAGTTGGCTTGGAGTTGCAAAGATTTTCTTCCATTAAATCCCGTTCGAGCTGCATCAGTCTTAAATTTGTTTGAGTTGCATCTTTTTAACAGCTTCTATGTTAGTTTTGCTGAATCAAATTTGACAGAAAGAATTGCTTTGTCTCTAAACTTTACCTTTACCAATCTTAGGCTTCCATCACTAATTTGTTTTTTTTCTTTTATATACCAAACTACGTTCTTTTCCTTCCTTCTAAAACTGAGGAATAAATAGATTTAATATGAAAACATTAAGGATACCAAGAATGACTAGAAGTTCTGTAAGTTTCTAAATAATTATAGGACAAGATCAATGATGATGAAATTACATCATCCATTACAAATTTTATGCTCTCTGATTTGGTTGTGTTTTATCTTTATGCATCCATAGATAAATCCATTTTTATTTGGTCGTTTTGCCATGTTCAACTTGTGTGTTTGTGCTTTTTGTGTTACTGATCTCTGATAACTCTCATGAAGTATGATTTCACTCAACTAGAAAAACAAAAAATGAGGCTATCTTGAGCTAAATTAAGTTTGTGATACATGAGGCTCTTTTTTGAACTGCCAGCCATTTTCATTCAGTCAGACATCATTTCAATTTTCATGACTAACATTTCCTCAAGGGGGATCTAACCTACAAAATATGCGAATGCTGTTCATGTGACAATGAAACAAAATGTTCAAATCTGTCTTTTTACTCATTTACCATGCAATGTAGGAAATTTATGAGATAAAATATTTTGAACTTCTTAGCAACTCTTTTAGAGATAAAATGTGTGAAATTGTTGAATGCTATGCCTTTTCTTGGAAGCTTAAGTCACCATTTCCAGCATACAAACTCTATTCAAGTCAGGTGTATTAAGTGTGTGGCAGTAATAAAATCTAAAAAAATGAAGAGAAGAATTGAAGCTCAAAATTAAGTTCTTATCTTTTACATTGGTAAATACTACGTGCTAAATGCATGAGAATACTACTTATATGTAGAATTCATGTAAATAAAAATATTAAAATAATTTAATATAAGTATTAAATAAAATTTTCTATAAAATAACTGTAATATATAAATAGATAAAATTAACTATTTAAGGGCAAATTAACTTACTAGTTCATAAATAATATTATGCATATATTATTACATTATTTAAAATAATAAAGCAAAAAAAAAGTAATTTGTAATGGGCCTGAATAATTTTAAAAGCCACGTTTTTTTTCCTTTATGATTTATGATATATAAGCATACTTTTAGATATTGTTTATTCATTTATAATAATTATAATTATGACATGAATTATTTATCATGAATATATTATATTTACTTTTAGATATTTTCACTTTTGTTTTTAGAACCATCTAAATTAACCTTGTCATAATGATATAGACCCCAATGTGGTCTAGACTGACCTAAACCGATATTGGTCAAATTGCCTTCCTAGAATGGGCATCAGATGACTCAAGGTGTCAAATGTTGCATAAAAGGAGGCATAAATGATTTGATTCAAATTGGAACAACCTGAGTTGATTAATCTAACGTGATTCAACCTTAACAACTTAAGCTAACCCTATCAATTCTACCCAACCTTTTCTAGTGGTCTTCCTCCCACAAGCATGGTGCACCCTAATTATTAGCTGGCCACCTCTTTTGTGATTTCCCTTGGTAGCTTCCATATGTGCTTTGACCTAAGGTGGACCGACTTGTAGTCTCAAGCCCTTCAATGGGTTTAATGTCTACTGATGGGCGAGAAAAATTTGTGAAGCCACTACCATTGGAAGATTTTCTAAGGACCATATACAACCTTTCAATGCTTTTTGTGTACATTATTTTTTGAGGGATGCAAAAGATCTTTAGATTTTGTCAACTAGATTAATAAAAAGTTTCCACTCCTACAATTTTTTATATATAATGTTAAATATGATGGGATTTATTATAGCACCAATACAATTTTGAAAGGTCAGACTAGAAAATGAAATAATATGCTTTTATTTTTGAGCTATAATAGCAGATAAAATTACAGAAATGTTTTACACGCACTCTTGATACACATAATCCTATATGAAATTTATTGGTACTAATGCTTTAGGATTAAGGCCATAAAATGGGGCTTAATTAGGAAAAATAATTAGCCCCGTTCTATGACCATATATAGGTGCTCTTAAAGGATATTCAGATTGAGATATCTTGGGTATCATATTTGTCAATGATGACTTTGATAATTAAGAACTCTTGTGAAGTAAATGAAATTTTTTTAGAAGACCGGGACAAGTTATTTTAATGGATGCCAAATTTTTTATTATCAATCCTTGCTAGAAGATCAATTACCATGTGAGTTTGATAGTTTTAAGTGCCTTGATTCTACTACATAAATGAATTGAGGCATGCATGAAGTTTTGAATCTGGGAGTTAAAGTTCTATGAATAAGAAATATGAAGGTAATTTAAACGCAAGTTTAAAGTTGCAATTAAGCTGCGTGAAAATTTGAATTTTGTAAGAAGGATGTAGGTAAAACCAGGAATGAATACAGATATGATGTGAATAGCTCCTACATAGTCTATGATAGCTGAAAGTAGAATTGGTTGATTTTATCATGTTCAGGCAAAAGATGCACCATTAAATTTGACATAGAGAGTAAATGTGTCAAGAATTGAAAGAAAAATGCTGGGGTAGACGTTGTGCAAACAAAATTGCATTACTTTGTGTTAATGCCTTATGTTGCACTCAACGGGGAAGGAGGATTCATGATTAGTTGGAAGACTTTTGATGATGATGAATGATTGTATTTTTTTTACAAATATTTGATCCTATGATGCACCGAGACATCTTCTTAAAGAAGCATGTAGTATCCGACACGACACACATTCGACACACCTCTGACACGTGTCAGACATGTTGAAGACGTGTCCAATTAAAAAATATATTAAAAATAAATTGGATGCACGTGTCCGAAGCATGTCTTATTTAAATATAATTTTTTTTTAAAATAAATTTTTTATTTATTATAAAAATAAAATTAAACTTCTTATTTCCTCTTTATAGTCCCCAAGGCTCAAATCAATCGCATGTACTCAATACCCCATTCTCCGAACATTGTCATTTTCATTTCTCTCTAGCGGTTAACAATTAGGGTTTGCAAGAACGCACGATGTCATCTATCCAACATCATCACAACATCATTATTTTAAAATCATCTCAACCTTAAAGTTTGATATTATTTTGACATTGATGCTCGACGCCAGCAATTTTAACATCCACATCATGCCCTCGTGCTGCCTCGACATCTCATATGTGTTCAACGTCATCTAAACATCGACGATTGATGTCGTCTCGACATCGAGGGCCAATGCTGTCTCAATATCAATTTCCGACACCCATTGCACAACATCGATGCTCAACTCTCAAAAGCATTGTCATCTCCCCTCTCGATACATAACACGACATCCACGCATGACTCTCGACATCCTAATATTAATGATTTAAGTATAAATCCTAGTTTAATGACTTATGATTTCTCAATTATTTGTAACATTTTATTTATTCAATGTTTATGCACAATTTTTAAGATATAAAAATTATAATACCATGTCTAATCCGTGTCTGTGTACTATATTTTCAATAATTGACCTGTCCCATGTTCTTATCGTGTTGTGTATTTGTCGTTGTGTCCTTGTCTATGCATCATGGATTTAATCTCTTAGTGTGCTGTTATTTTAAAGCCGCTAATCTATCATGTGTTTCTGTTGCAGTTTCAGGATGAATCCGGAAGAGCATCAAGCTCACATTCTGCACAAGATGAGGTCTCTTGACGAAAACTTAGTTCTTATATTTAATGAACTTTCTATTTTTCTTGTGAATTTTTTTGCTTCCTTCTCAACAGTTGAGTTATAACAGGTAACAGAGTGGATGAAAGGCTGGACTGAGATGGATAAGATGGATGAACTGAAAGAAACTAAAAGCCAAGGTACCGTTACATGGTTATGATGCATTTACCTTTTTCATACTGTAGAATGAAGAAGTTTATCAGTTTTTTACTTTTGTTTTTTATTTTATTAGCTATGATTGTTAAGGGCGCTCTCTGAAATTTTTTTTTTAGATTTGGTTTGTGTCTGACAACTATGAAATTATTGATAAACCACTATAATAGTGTCCACAACATGCTTTGGTTTCATTTTCTATTTAAACTTTGTTCAACTGTCAAATTTTATTAGAGAATGAAAGTACAATTTAAATAAATTTTTTCAACAAAAGTTGGTCTAAAATTATATTTGGATGAATTCAAGGATGGCATATCCCAAAACTGTTTGCTGCTAAAACCAAATATTTCCAATAACAGGTCATTATTGACAAGCCTTGCACCATTCAAACAGACTCAATAACATCATGTTTTGTTGCTTTTGGTATTTAAGTCATAAAATTGTGATAGCAATAGACATGCTCAATGGCTTGTTATTTGTGTATTATTTTAAGCTATTTATCTATAGATGAGAACTTGTTATCACAGGCCTATATTTTAAACTGCAAAGGAAAGTGAGGGAGCTGATTTGATTATTTTATTGGCACTATTTTTTTTTTGTGTAAATGGAATAGATGCATTTTGGAGCAAGTTGCGGGCAGCAGCCGAAAGCAAGGTATGATGAAGTTTCATTTTGTGTAATCTTATCTTCATCTGCGGTTTAAGTAGAATGTAGATATTCCATATGGATTGATTGTATTCATTCAAGCATGTTATTTTTTCTTAATTGAAGCGTGTCAGTTTGATTACGTTGTTTGGGACTAACCTGAAAGTTGAGTAACTTCTTTAGAGTGCTTGACCTGTGATTGAATAATTTAATATAAAGGTCGAGGTTCTTAACTTGAATACGCTGTTGGTATTATCCTAGTGGTTGTCCTTTTGATTTGAATACCAAAAAGTGTAACTAGTGGACCCAACCCATTTGAGAGATGTGAAATTATGATCGAAGTTTTTTTTATTTTCATTTGTATTGGACAAGAACAATTGCAATTAGAAAGTTGTTTAGTCCAGTTGACTTCAATTTTACAACCAATTCAATGAAGGGTTGACATGAGCATGAACCAATCTAATAAACCTTAATTTTACAACCCAAATAAGAATATTTCAAGCGAACTGTTTTAGCCTTAAAGGTTTTCGCTTGAGTAGATCTAAAACGGAATATATGGAGTGTAATTTTAGTAGTAATAGACCTAGTGAGGGGATTGTGACTTTGGGCGATCAAGTCATTAATAAGAGTACACGTTTTAGATATCTTGGATCTATTGTTCAGAGTGATGGTGAAATAGATGGGGATATTATCAGCAGAATTCAAGTTGGATGGTTGAAGTGGAGGAATGCATCGGGCTTGTTATGTGATAAAAATGTACCCCTCAAACTTAAGGGAAAATTCTATAAGATGGTAGTGAGGCCTGCAATGCTTTATAGTGCCGAATGTTGGCCATTAAAAGAGAAGCATAATACTAAGTTAAGTGTTGCAGAGATGAGGATGCTTAGGTGGATGAGTGGCTTTACCCTTAGAGATAGGATACGAAATGATCATATACGTGAAAAGGTTGGAGTAGCTCCAGTAGAAGATAAAATTAGAGAGAGCGCCTTAGATGGTTTGGTCACATAAAACGGTGGCCTACACCCAGTTAGGAGAGTAGAGGTATTAGATTTGACTTATGTTAAGAAAGGTAGGGGTAGACCTAAAAAGACTTGGTTAGAAAATATTAGGAATGACCTTTCTTTATTAGATTTAAACGAGAATTTGACTTTTAATAGGACACAATGGAGAAAAAGGATTCATGTAGCCGACCCCACGTAGTGGGATAAAGGCTTGATGTTGTTGTTGTAACTGTTTTAGCCTTAAAATGAAAATTATTTAGTTCAAATTGAGTTAATTTGGAGTGAGGACTGCTCAATTAAGTTTGAGCTAGCTTAGACTCTGTTTGAATCAACTCGAAATTAAAAAGAAAACACATGTTGGAAGGTCGAATTTAATGCAAGACATTTCCAAATACTTATTGATGGACCCTACACCCTACACCAATTATCAATCCATTTAAATTTTATATCAAGTAAATACTAAAATAGAAATGGGACGCTAGATTTCAAAATTTGTCCTAACTATTGTTAACTCGAAACTGGGTCGAAATGTGGTTCTAGCTGGCATCTTAGCCCGAATCTCGAATATGTTTGAACAATGATTTGGCTCAAAAACCATTGAGGTTTTAAATTTGGGGTATTCTTATCAGCCCCAACTTTTGATTTGTACTAAAAGGTTCTTTGGCAGTTGGTAAAACTATTAGAGTGCAAAGCTTGAACTACTCATATTTAGATGTTACCCTTGTAAATCTTTGTTCGTAAACTCCAAATAATGTTTATAACATCAAATTTATCTGTGGTTCCTTACTTTGACCATCTTTCTGACATTATGGTTCATCTCACAAGTTTCTCTTCATATATTTATTTAATGGAATTACGATTTATTTCCTAATCTTTTTATGTGAATAATGTATTTTACAGGCTTCTTTTTAATTCATAGGGATTGGAAATTCACTTTCTATTCAAAAAATTTCATGGGAAAACCAAAGGAGTTGAAGCATGTAGAGGCAAAGGGAGTTAAATATTCTTATACATGACACCTAATGGGAGAAATAATCTTTTTAAATGATTAGCTTCTGAAGGTCCATTTGAAGTGAATTAGACCATCAGAAAATAGTATAAAGAGTCAACATTAAAGTGACCATTAGAGGAAAGCTTCCACTTTGAAGAGTCATAATTAAAATTGAACAAGATTCACTTAATATTTGAGTAAAGATTGAAAACATATATGCCAAAGGAAATGATTACAATACCTTTCCATTGAATATGATATCCATGAGGGTTAAGAAATTTGGATCTAATCAAGCTGTTTATATTCCTGGAAAATTAGGCAAAGTTGGGGATAAATAAATGCAAGGGTATTACCATAGACCCGATTATCCTTCCAAAATTATACATTGTCCGCATTTTGTACATTATAGGAGAATTGCGGAAGAAGTTCCTTCATTAAGAATAGAACAATGTGAGTATCAAACATCTAGAGAAGAATCAACAAGGTACATTTTGATAATAGAGCCAACTATCGAATTGGACTCCATTTGGATGGATTTACAAATCCATTTAGAGTGTAAGGATATTTTCATCAGCAGAGATCACAAATGCCAATTTTTATAAATGCAGGCTTGTAAATATCACTCAAGTTTACCATATTGAGAATCTGGTCCCTAACCTTTTACAAAAAATTCTTCTAGTACTATCTTGCTTTATTGATCATCCATTTAAGCACCCAAATGAATGGGAAATAGTACAAATAATAGAAGACAACATATATATGATCACGACAACTAAATCGCCTTTGGATATAAATTTATGTAGGGTTTTAACTTTTAAGACACCCTCGTCAAATCTGCTGAGCAAAAAGGAAGATCCAAATATTTATAAGAGATTTAAGAGAACGATCCATGATTTTGTCATTAAAGACACCATTATTCATCAACTTAACCAACATAGATCATATATTATTTAGAAAAGTTAATTCTTGTTAAATCTCAGCGTTCCGTTGCAAAACTGATCCCATAGCCATGAACAGTGATTCGTGGGAAGCCTGCCTGTGTCACGTTGAATACCTTCCATAACTAGAGAACTAATTTAGGAAGGATTGTATTACTCTTTATTGTGTAGTAATTTGTTTCTTTATATAAGCATCTTGTATAGACTATAAATAGGGATCATGTTGAATAAAGTGATAAGCTTTTCCCTCTTATTCCTTTCAAATCCTCGTTTATAACATGGTATCAGAGCCATGAAGGTAAGAGGGAACTAGAAGGGAAGAAGCCGTACCGAACGAAGCCCGAAGCTAGAGCCGAAAGTCGACTGTCCTCCTCATGGAAGAAGAAGTCAAAGCTTTGCCCTCGACGAAGGAAGGAGCCGAAGAAGCCTCATGCGAAGAAAGTATCTCGATCTGACAAGAAGGGAAAATCGTAGAAGGAGCGTAGTTGAATAGCCACGACTCTGTTTAAAATTGCGCAATTAGAGGCGTGCCTTGAGGCGCGCCTTTGCGCAATTCTGCCCAAAAACGCCTCATAGCCTATGCAATTTTGGGCTTTCAAGAGGCGTACGCCTCACTGGGGCTGAGGCGCGCCTCAGAGGCGCAATTGCGCAACTCATTGTGAGGTGTACGCCTC